GGGTAAATATTTTTAAATTACATAATATTTATGTAAAATTATGTACACATGATCTAAAATGTTGCCAAAAATAAAAACTACACTAACGCCAGTATTGTCCAAGAAAATAGGTAATAATAGCGTTAATTTGATCTCCCTGTATAGTGTACACACTTCTGATCAAAATAATATAATACCTGGTATATAGTATAATATGATCTCGGACGGCTTATTTATAATATTATTCTTTAGCCGTAGCGTACAGGTTATATAGGATATAAAAATACACGATTGTTTCTATAGTGGTGGGGATTTAAAGTATATATATATATATATATAATAGTTTGAATAAATTACGTTGTCTGTTATAATTATTACTATCGGGGAAACCGGTTGCGGCTGTGATCTGATTTTGTAGTGAACCCATTTTCTCCTTCGGGGTGGCCGTGTGTACACTATTATATACCATTGAATGCCTCTTCTTAGCATGCCGTCTTCATAATAATATAGTATATAAATGCTATAGCTATAGACTACGGTAAAAAGTGCGCTTCTTCGATATGTTGCCGTTGGTGTGATATTTATTTAATTACTTTTGAGTACAGGTTTTCGCACGATTACAACAGCTACATAAATATAATATATTTATGTAGTTATTATAATATATAATATTATTAAATCTATTATATTGATTAATATTACTGGTGAACCGTGACATAATAAGTAAAGAAAAATGTTCTATTATATGGTTGGTTACTGATTGACACTTACATTTTAAGAAAAAAAAACGTAAGGCGCATGTATAGGCAAGGGCGGATATGGGTGTCACTTGTGCACTGCTCTCTATCTGATACTACACACTCTAGTTACGAAGGGAGTACTTGCTTTCTGTGGCCCTGCGGCCTACCCCTATCTTTTGCCCCATGGCTACATGATTTCTATACTGTTATACAGCGCGGTGTAAGGGTTTATCAAATTAATCTCACGGATATGAATGCAAAATAGGAACTGAATATCTGTTACAGTGCATACTGCATATTATATGTTACTACTTCGAAATAATTTTACGAGTGAACGACAAGGAGGGTCAATCCGCCTACGGAATAATTTAAGAAAAAACAAATTTCAATAGCAATATGCCTATTTTGGTTAACCAAGGCCGGTACTCGAAAACTCACGCGAGTACAATCGCGAGGATGACAATTATTTTTTTCTTCTTTAGTGTAGCTAACACTAATCTTTATAAAAATTTCGCTTAAGCTGTCCTCGTTATGCGTTATGGGTATGGTAACTATGTGAGAGAGAATCCCTTAATAACCGCCCGATTCGTTAACTGTTTAAGAGAAACGGACACGTGATATTCAATTAACCAAAAGCTCGAAAGACATTTTACGAATAACAAAAACGAATTTTTTTATCGGCTCGCCGCGCCGCCAGACGTTTCTTCATCGTTTGCCCCTGAGCTGGTAGTTTTTTTTGTGTGTGTGTAGTTTCAGAATCGTATTGGGCACCGAAAAAAAACAAGAAAATAAAAAATATATGTATATAATAAAACGTTTCAGCCCGTGGGTACCGGTAACGGTCGGGTATTTGTGTACGCCGGGGTTGATGGGACGGAAAACGGACGAAACACATCCACGTATAATATACGCGTAAGTATAAACCTATTACCTATATATATATATATACACACACACACACACACACACACACACTGTGCAGAGACTACGCGGAAGACACGGCGTACACACGAATTGTCTTTAGGATATTATGTATATTTTTTATATATACACGGACCGTCCGTTTTTACCCGATAACCTGTAATTTAAAAACTATACTATAGACTCCCTAGCGCAGTTCTCCGACAACGCCGCCCTCCTCCCCCCACGCATCATTGGCGTTTGCGTTTTACCGTAATATAATAGCACACCGGTAATACTATTATCATGTATTATACACGACCGGATATAATAATATAATATATTATAATTTATATAAAAAAAAATACACTGGGAAATAGTATTCGGTTTTTTTGCACGACTGACACGCGGCCGAAACGTCGTCAGCTGAATAATATGCACAGAATAAAACGTAAACCGTATATTGATCAATACGCCTATATCATATGGGTTGTGTGTGGACCGATAAAATATTTAATAACAACGTTGTACGTACGCTGTTTTTATGTGTTAATATCATGTGATACCTAATTATCGTATGAGGCCAATAGAGTGCTGTGTGCACAGGATGTACGTTTCATTAATAGTCAATCAAGTCGATGTACGATCGATTATTCAAAAAGCACCATATTTGCGCGCAAATGCGATTAACGTGCCCAACGGGTAGATTTGCAACACACTGTATATACATATTATGTATTGGTGCAAATATAACACAACAAATGTACGTAGAAGTTACAACCGAAACAATTACGCGTACGAAGCTTTAATTAAACACAATAATATTACAATTATATAATATAATATATGTATATATATATATATATACAGAGCTCGTGGATGTAAGTATTTCCTAAATTCATTCTAAGGTTGATACGCTGGCCACCGCCGTCCCATCCACGTCTCTTTTTGCTGAATCGCGGGTAACGGAAAGAGAAAGAACGATTCATTAAGGGACCAAACATCGGCCACAATAGTACATTTATCTACCCGACGCTGACAGCGTTAAATAAAAAATAAAAAAGCCCTTTTTTTTATTTTTCGGTTAACATGATTTAGTAGAAGTCACTTAGCGAACTGTAAGTTATAACACCAACGGATTTCAAAGCCCATAAGTTCTCGGCGATGTTTGAAAGGTCGACTTAGGTATGGCTAGTAATATTAACAAGCAAAATATTATAATATATAAAAATACTACACGACCACCTGGCTACAGTGAAAACGGCCCTACTTCGGAAAGTTTATTTTTCGGCTACAGGCGTAAAAAAAACTGAAATTTCATTAGCTTTTATTATAACTTTTGCAATTTGTCGATATTTATATTTTTATTAAAAAAAAATAACACAAGGATAAATTGAGTTCAAACTTAACCTGATTTTTGCACGTTTTCACGTTTTACATCCTCAACAGGATGTTTTAAATTATAATGTGAAAATTGGTTGCTTGTAAAAATAATCGCTTTCCGTGTTTTTAAATGTATATTATGAAAATTGTTTTTTAAAATACAAAATAACGTCCTGCGACATAATATATACAGACATTTATCTATTTGTTCGTTATATTATATTTATAAACAAAATCTCTACATAAAAATAAAATATGTTTTCAAACTCTTAAACGAGTAGATATTATGCGTGTATTATTGATTATTAAGCCCAAGATTTATTCGGAAAACGGTAGTGCGTTTAAATCTTTTTTTTAAAATGCTAATGTTCCCTTCGAAAACCACCTTAAATATTTTTAGTGATGGTAATTTTCAAACCCCACGACATATTTTTGTTTATCTAAGTAAAACCGGTGCGGTACCGGTTATTTAATGTAATTAAGTTATTATAATACTGCCGGCTCGTTTATGGATAAATGAATATTAATTTACACGTTTTGGATTGCTTTTAAATACACACAAACGCTGAAAGTTTTCAACTCGGTACATTTTTCGTTCAATTTCCATAATTAGGTACTTGATATTTTAATAATATTTTAAAAAAGTAGATGGTAATTAATATAAATTATTGAAAACATGTTGTTAATCAAATAATAAATGTTGTCTGAAAAATATATGGTATAGGTACATAATTTAATAGTTTTCAAAATTACTACGTCAGTGATAAGACAATAAAAACAAAATATTCAAAGTTCAATAAAGCGTGTAGATTATTATACTTATTTTTTAGCTAGCACAAAAAAAATCAAATTACCATTGTTTTACAAGCGGGGTAGTGCAATTTTTTCCGCGAGGCATGTTTCAAACATTATACATTTGAAGACGCTGTCTCCGGCATTTTTTCACATTTTATCGAATGTATTAATTCAAGTAGCGTCACAACCAGAAGGGACTACAAATGATCGTGTCTCTCTCTGTTTCTTATCCTATATCTAGCCAAGCATGGCATCAGGCTAGATTTCTCTTACTTTGGTTGGAAGAGAGGGAATTTACATAGGAAGCAAGCAAATGCGGTGTCAGGGTATTGAAGGGTTAATGGTTATCGGAAAATTAAAAAGTAGAACACTAGATGACGAGATCACCTGGGTTATTCCTGTTTTAACCTACCTTGAAGTACATTTCCGATTGAAGTGTTGTGTTAAGATTGCACGGATTTTCAGTCCCAACTCTATTAGTTATTATCACATGGCGAATTCATACATACACAGTACCAGACAGAACTGTATTGAATTTGGGGGTAGCACCAGGTATGTATACACACCAAAAGCAAGACGAAGCTATGTTAAGGTGCTTATGACCAGAACAGAACACTAGATGATAGTGCTGGAAGTAACAATCTCCTCTTCCTCCCCTCTTAAACATTATTAACTATATACGGTAATGCATTTGTTGTTTGATTTTCGAGTAATTTGTATAATAATTATTATTCGTTACACGTTAGATATTAAACCTTTAAAGGTAGAATTATGAGAATTTATAATTGTTTTTTTTTTAACTGCCTTAATAATATATGTTATAACTTTTATGTTAAAAATATTATATGAACGGTCAACGGACAAGGACCACGATTTATATTTAAAAAAAAAAGTTATATAATATGTGATTTAGGTGATTATATATGTGATTCTTTCTCTGTGGACCAATCACTGTATAAAAACGAATTGTGCATAATATGGATTTTAATTTAACGAATCGTTTTATATTAATACTTAGGGATACCACGTAGTTTTTGGATCTGACATCCAGGCCAAAAGAAAAAAAATCTTCTCGGACTCGACCCATCTACCGTAATAATTAAAGTGTAATAAATAAATAAATGATTATATTTATGTTTTCGCCGACAGTGATAATAATTATAAAAATAATAAATATAGCAAGGGAAAATCAAATTGACTCACGTTTTAAATTTGAACACAGCAGGCCGACCACGGCGAAGTAGAGCAGCAGCATCTTGGCGGTTTCCGGACTGGTCAGACGGGTATAAGGTCGTGACAATAACGTTCTAAAAAGCAGCAAGTGCCGGACGGTAATAGCTATTACTAATTATTATCGCCGACCGAGTCCCGAGAGTGTTCGAAATGTTTGAATTTTTTAATTTTATTTGGTAATATAATTGTTATACTCGATCAAAACGTGTCCGGATGACTTTTACGGATCCGTTTGTCGCGTTTCACCGCAGCGGTAACCCGCGGACGATTTCCCATCGAGATGAACTGGTCACTGGTCACTTGGATAAAAAAAAAAAAAAAAACAAATCCCACGGGCGACAACACCGCCAACACGTGTATAGGTCGTTTTTATAACAATCTTAAAAAGTCTGTTGTTTTGTAAATTTTCAAACGGAGCGCGGGAAAGGACCACCGGCGAAACGCGTAAGGAGCGACAGCGGAGAGCGCGATGATGAACTGGCCGTGGCCCAACGACAGACGATACTGAACTCGCGGCAAGATAGATACCGTCACCGGACGGTCGGTCGGTCGGCAACAGAGTCAAGTGACGGAGAAGATCCGACCAAGTGAGTGTGGATGTGTGTATGTGCGGCGGTGGCGTCGGCGGCGGCGGCAGCAACAACAACTCTCAGCAGGGTAGTCGTCACCGGTAGCACCGAGATAGGCTCTCACTCTATGCATACCTGCCTCTACCTATATTATTATGTATAAAACGATTCGTTCTCGTACCTACCATCGTTTAACCCGGCCGTTACACCCGTATAATACTAAATCTCTACTAATCCCGAGCTTTAGTTTTATAAAAAAAAAACAACAATTTTTTGCCCACTACCCTCCTCCTTACCGGGCCTTCTGTCGATAAATATTAAAAAAAATAATTAATACGTAAAATAACATAGCCCACGTTATTAAATCTATTCGAGTTTAGTCTATACTTTTTTATACGAAAATAAACGATTATTACTATTATGTGTATAGCTAAAAGCAATTTTTGAAAATTTTCACAAATCACAAAATATAATTTCTTTAGATGGGTGATTTAGAAACTAACCAAGATTTTCTTTCAAGACTTTTTCGTGCAATTTTATTATTTAAATTATTATTGTAATCAAAACGAGCTGAGTGTACAATAAAATCTGTCCGGTGAAATAGTATTTATACCACGAGGCGTCTAGTTTTAAACCCAGCAAAAAGCAATTTTTGAAAATGTTCACAAACAACGAATTATTTCTTCAGATAGGTGATATTAAAACTAACTAAGATTTTCCCAACACAGTTTTAAGTTAGTTATAGTCTTTATTTTGTATTCAATAATATTTATTTTACTAAAATACGTTTTAATTTATTTTGGAACAGAGTACATAGTTAATTGTCGCTTAGGATATTATAGGTGTTTTATGAAAAATTAAAATTGTAAAACGCTATGGCGAAAGCTTGTGTTATTATATTTTCCAATAACAATAATGGTATTATCTTATAGAAATACAGCGTCTGTATTCATACATCTAAAAAAACAAAATGATTTATGTTGTATGTAGTAGAAAGAATAAAATCTTATGAATACAATTCGTGTTCCATATCCCTAAAATATATAGAAAAATTACAATAATATTATTATTGTCAAAGTTTGAGATAGTTATAATCTTTATTTGATATTCAATAATAGTTTTACATACCATTACCATGTAATACAGTGTGGCCACTTAAGAAAAACACGTTTTCAAAATATATTCTAGCTGGTTTTGAAATTAGACGCCTCACGTAGAAGATCATAAAATCACTCAACCGGCTTGTTAGTTATTATGCTTACTGAGTTGTGCACAGGGGGGGGGCAGATGTTATGTTGAGTGTATAGTCACTAAAGGCGGTCAAAAAAATACAAATATAGCGCGGTTCATGAAATATAGCTTTTAAATGTATAAAGAGATTCAAGTTACTCGTTTTTTTCTGAAAATAATTAAGATTTCAAGTTTTTTTTTTCAAATACTTTTTGGTGTACAATCTTTTAATTTTTTATATTTTCAAATGAATGCCTTTATAGTTATTTATACAAAAACTTAATCGCTTTTAAAGTTCAAACAACAACTTGTATCTTTCCAATATTAATTAATTCAAGACTCATCTGTTACAAAAATGACTGATCAATAACCGATTTTGAACATTTATTTTGGAATAGTTGGAATTTCTAAATGTAGACGCGTGAGAAAACGTACAGTGTAATACTAACATTATCAGCAAGCACTATACAACCGCACTTACTTCAATATCCCAAAAACTTCAAAACGAGTTGTTCTAAATTCCATGTTATCCATCAGTAATTTTATAGCAGATGATTCTTGGTATAAAAGTATTCAAAATATGTAGGGTCGCTATTTGTTCTTTATTTCTCTTCTTCGAGCGTAGTTTTGGGTTTAGTCTGAAAGTAGTTTTATAGTAAAAATATAATGTATTACACAATTTTTTCAAAAATCTGCAGTCAAACTTTTTTTGTTATTAAGGAAAAAATTAAAAATTAAAAAAAAAAAACGCTACCAAATCATCAGTACATAACTTTCTCAACAAAAACTCTTATCAGGGTCAAAAAGGTTTAAGACAGTAAGCGTCGAAACTTTTAACACTTTCAGACCTCTCGATTCGTGAGAAATATAAAAGACATATGAATTGCACAGACAAAACACATACACACGGACAGAAAGCCAAGTTGGTCAATTTTCGATAAGAATACCTACATAATAAATTATAGTCTTACTTCCCAAGAGTCTAAAAACAAATTGTCCAGGGAACCGAAGCAAAAGGGTAAAATTACCCTCAGACTGTAGTATATTTTTAGGTTGTTATGTGTGAATAAAGACAACAGTCAACTGGTATTTGAAAAATATTTTCATTGTATTTTTTTAATTGGATAAAATATGACAACAAATTTGTACAGAGGTTTACCCTAGTCGTATCTACCAGAATACTAAATATACAACTTAAAGCACATTATTTCCTTTTCTGCTTTTTATAGAAATTTAATATTTTTACCATCTACAAATTCCCTACACCTAAGTACATCTACTTTCTTATTTTAAAGTGATTTTATCATTATCAGTTATAATATTTACTGTAGAGTGTAGACCTCTGACCTGCCTCACACCATAATGTTGGCTTTTAAAAATTGTTTTTCGGTACATTTTAAAGGTATTTTATTTCAAATTTGTATACAACTCAAATTCTAAGTTTTAATATTATTCTATAGTAAAAATGAAAGGTTAATTGAATATTTTTAAAAATATCCTGAACAATGACAAAGAACAATATGCACTAAAAGTCTCCACGCTATTCTAAGAAATTTACCTATAGTACTAATGGTAAATTATAAATTCATATTATAACTTACAATTTCAAGACCGTAGCTCGATGAAATGTTTGTGCCGGTAGCGGTAAAACAAAAGTGGTTATTAATAATTCTAATAATTTTTTTTTTTTTTTGGGTCTACCACAAAGTCTTATTTTAGATACATTGTTTATATCGAATACGTGGAAAAAAAGTTTGATTAAATATAATTATGGTTGATATAAGGACACAAAAAATAAATAATTGGTCCAATGAAATAAATAGTTAGTCTAATTTGCTCCCTAGGTTAGAATTTGTACTTTATTGACCAAAAATTTAAAAAGTTCACCTTTTCCCTTTCAAAATTAAGAAAAAAATGTACACATTTTTCAACTTAAATTTATGGCGCTTTATAACTTTGTTAAAAATACTCGTTAAAGATAAACGTTGACTAACCAAAGTAATATCATAAACCTTCTCTTCTAGAAGAGAAGGAAACTTTTTCTTTATATCATTCTTAGGATTTAAGGTCTAAAAATTAGACCAAAGGTAGATCTAGAATAATTATTAAACTAAACATATCATATCCTGTTAAATCTAAAATCTTTTTTCAAACTTTTATTTTATTAAGAGAAGCCCAACAGTTGAGTGAATCAACAGCCAATAGGTATTTGAAAATGTTTTCATTTTATTGTTAATTACAACATAATATGGGTTACAAAGGCAATGAATCGAATATCGATCAGCACTAATCGTACTCATTGTAATACTAAAAATACATTTTTAAGCACACTGTTGTCATTTGGTACAATGCTTTTATCGATATTTGTAATTCTACCATAATAAATTCGGTTTGAAGCGTTTGTTTGAAAGAGATTTTGTCAATTTTTCATTTATAGTGATCGTATATGAACCATGATTATAGTAAGTTAAAAAGACTGTATGCAAAGCAATTACCATATTTTGATTTTTGTTAATAGGCTCTTTTGACCGAATTACATAGTTAGTCTTTTTGGTGGCAGTTGTTTGCAAAACCCAGTATAAAGGGAGCTGTCGCTTGTTTGTAGGAAGTATTACAATATATTATCCGAAAATGATACACTCTGATAACTATATCAAGCAAATGCTTCGACACCACAGAGTCACATAGGGAGACGGTGAAAAATAAATGTACACAAAAAAGAATGTGTAAAAGCGATACATCGTATTCAGCTCATTTGGTTTAGGCGTAGACACTTTTTTTAAATAGGAAATTTAAAAATAGGAAGGGGGAGTTCCCTCCCTTATATGTGCCAATGTTTGGGCGCTGGCGATAATTCATTACGAGTAATTGAAGTATAATTTATCCATTACTTTAAATACATTTTAAATGAGGTGAGATTATTCGACATAACAAACCTTTAAATTTATCATAGTTAATCACGCCATAAGCCTAAAAGTTTGATGGGAATTTTAAAAATTGATTATTTACAGGATGATTTTCTCATCATGGGCCACACAATATCTCATAGGGTTCAATAAGAAATTCAATTTTTTTTTCATGTTGTATTTATATAATTTGATCTCAATTTTTACCAATTTTTTTTGTTTTTAGCTACTCCTCTTTCAACATAGTTTTTTGATAGCAATTTTTGAAACTTAAATGAAAACGTGTATTTTTTATTAACTTTTTAAATTTGAAATAATGTACCAAAAATGTTGACTGGTCGATAAGTAGTTTCGGATAATTATTTTTGAAGCTATTGATGTTTCAAGTTTAGGGCAGGAGGAAAGGTGGAGTGTAGTATTATTTTTATCTGCGCGAATTTCCCAACCACAATTATTCCCCTCCCATCCTAACTTTAAAAAATGTTCACACTTATAACTTAAAAAATACTCAAATAAGTATTGAGTATTTGAGTATCTGTGATATATTTTTATACATAAAAAAAAAATTATACGAAAAATAACGTATTTTTATAACATTACAGGAATAGTTTCTGATGAATGGCTATTGTTACTTATGAATGCGAATGGTCTGTCACAAAAATAAATAACAATATCAAAGTACATTCCTCCGACCGAGGACCTCCCTGTTATAGGCATGTTTCCTGTTAATATATATTAGTGGATGTGTGTGTATCAAAGCCTTTGTTATTTAAATCCTCATTAGTTTAATTTCAAAGGTTTTACAAAATAGTATACATATAATTTGGTTTTTTATTATAATAGTCGATTCAAAAGAAATTTGGTTTTG